ACCCATAGTTTCAAAGATAGGTTATGTTCACATGATCCTTACACACCCTTAATCCCTAACCTACAATGATTAATCTACTCACACATCATGGAAAACATACAAACAACATCCCAATAGAAGTTCATGACAAGAATTAAAAGAGAGGGAATAGAATGCTTAGTGATAGTTGCAGGACTCTTCTTCTTCCGAAACTATGGGTTTTATGATTTGGTTTGAATGAATGAATCTTAATGATATGAATCTTGTTGGCCACTTGATTTGTTGAATCTAGAATTTAGTTTGCATAGAGATATGGAACTAAGTTTGGAACTCTTTCATTTGAATGGATGAACATTGCATTGAGAAATGAATGAACATCTAGAAATCATGATGGTGAGTTTAATGCTCTTAAAAGTTTCAATCTATTTGGAATCGAGAGATCGGTAGGTTGAACTCTTAGGAAGAGAGGTGAGACTCGAGAGAGTAATCCTCTATAGCAAGAACTTGAATTTCCCGAATCATAACTCTAGTTACAAAGATACATCCTTAGAAGCGATCCTTACATAACCCGTAATTCCCGACACCTACGATGTTTTATAGAATTGTGCTAAGTCTTTGCTTGTATTTGCTTTAATTCGTGTTTACTTTCAGTTATAATCATCACCATCATCATTATCGTCTCCGACCGAAACCGAGTAATAATCGTAATTGTTGTCGTTAAACCACACGTGTCCTTGTGTTCGACCCTAGGTACTACAATTGATCCGTACACTTGCGGTGATTGTATTTAGGAATTAAAACAAGATTAGATCACATCCTAGATCGACATCAAAATCCTAAAGGTCAAGTAATCAATTCAACAAAACATAACCACGTTCAACGGATCACAATGTTTTCAGGACGTTTCTACTCTCTCATGTCATAGGTCATCATATCAATGCTCAAAACGGTTTTATGCACGTGATCTTATATGTCCTAAATACTATATGAGAATGCACAATCCTAACAACAAACTATATGATCCTAATGCATCCTATATGCACATGCAACTAAAAAATGAAAATAAAAGGGAAAAAGACATGCAACATTACTCTATATGGATATGTTTGGCGTTAGACAAATCCTCCCCCAGACTTGAACTGGACACCGTCCTTGGTGTCAATTCTCGTCTAGAAGAGGGAACCAATAAAATGAGTCAAAAGAGAAGAAAATCAAGAAGAAAAAAGAATACTTAGCTCGTGATGTTCGTTCACTCGCACTTAAGTCTGCCTACGTCTATCGCATAGCTAGCTTCCTCGCCTCTGCAATTCCTCATTATAACTCAACCTGTGATAAGAGACACAAACCAATATCCGATGCAAAAATAAACAAAAAGGAAAGAAAGCTAACCTAAGAACTTAGGTTGCCTCCCGGGAGCGCTTGTTTAGGGTCTTTAGCTTGACCAAACTCTCTCAACTACCGGATGGGTCTAATGGGTGAAGATTATCGATCTTCTGCCAACCTGGATCATGAAGTTTAAGAGCATCTCTACAACAAAATGAGTTTGAGAAACGAGGCGTACCTACCTAGTAGAGAAAAATCTGGTGATGCATGAGATTCGAGCCAGTTCTCATGATGGTCTGATGAGTTAGTGACATGTTCAACCATGTTAGCTTCTTTCTTACCTTTTGTCCTATCTGGATCTGGTCCTCTCTTAACCTTGTGTCTGTGGTCCTGGTTCTTAGGCGTTTTGAGCTTGTAAACTGAACAAATAGATTTCACACTTTCGTCTGGATTGTCATTTTGATTGAGCATGAATTCTATTGTCTCGTCTCCAATGGACATAGTAAGACGACCCGCTCTGACGTGGATGACGACATCTGCTGTGTTGAGAAAGAGACGTCCTAGAATGATAGGCATGCTTGAATCTGCATCCATGTCAAGAACCACAAAATCGACAGGCATGTAATAATCACCCACCTTAAGTGGCATATCCTCTACTATACCTGCATGTCGTTTGGTCGACCTATCTACCAACTGTAATATCATTTGTGTGGGTTTGAGTTCATCCACACCTAGTCTCTTGAAGATTGACAATGGCATTAGGCTTACGCTTGCTCCTAGATCACATAACGTCTGTTCAATAAAGAGATTGCCCAGTTTGCAAGGAATGGAGAAACTACCTGGGTCTGCCATCTTACGGGGTAAATCGTGCTGAAAAACGGCACTGCACTCTTTGGTTAATGCTACTGTCTCCTTCTCCACTGTCTTCTTCCTAGCCAGAATATCCTTGAGAAATTTGGCATAGGAGGGCATTTGAGTGATTACCTCATGAAAAGGTATTGTGACCTCCAATTTCTTTATCATGTCCGTGAAACGCTTAAACTGGCTGACCTCTTTTTGTTGCACAAGTCGTGAAGGGAATGAAACTGGAAGAGGTCTGGGAGGTGGAGGTACATACTTTGGTTCGTCCTCACATGTCATCTTAACTAGAGTATCTGCAGACTGAATGTTAGAGGTGATCGCAGATCTAGAGTAAGAAGACTCACCTTTTTCAAGAGTAGGGGGGGATGGCATTCTCAAGTTGCTTCCCGTGTCTCAAGAATACTGCATTGCAGTGCTCTCTAGGATTTGTTTCGGGTTTACCTGGAAGTGATCCTTGAGGTTGCGAAGGTATATAGACAACAAGTTGAGCTATTTGGTTATCGACAAGCTTCAAGTGAGCGTCGGTCTCTTGTTGATTTTCACGTATCTCGGTGTGAATAGCTTCTTGACCCTGCATAAGCTGTGCGAACATAGACTTAAGATCGAGGTCAAAATCTACCTGTTGTGAAGGCGGAGACAGAGCGTAATTCTGCTGAGATTGAAGAGGTGTTGGGTAGTGTTGAATGACCTGATTCTGATGTTATGGGGGATCTCGGGGTCGAGGTTGATGTCCTTGAGAAAGACCCTGATTAGCCGAACCACCAAAATATCTGTGGGGAGTATTCAAGATGTTGGAAGAATTCTTGTACGAGAAGTTTGGATGATTCTTTCACCCCGGATTGTACACATTCGAGTACAGGTTGTTATCTATGTAGTAGACATCTTCGATCATGTACCCGTTGGCTGATGTCACTACAAGAAAAACTGTAATTTGCGACAGAAAAATCTGTCGCAACATGAAGAAGAATCTGTCGGGAAAAAAAATTTACGACAGATGACGACAGATATTAATCGGTCGCTAAATCGTTGTCGCAAAATCTGCGTGGTCGTGATTCTGTCGTAAATTTGCGACAGATGGAGCTGTAGGTAGTCGATCGCAAATGTACGACAGATGTAAATGTGTCGGTAATCTGTCGCAAACCGGTGAATCCAGAGCTGTCGCATATTGCGACAGAAATAGGAGTAGGTATATGTCGCAACTTAACGACAAAATGATCGGTAGGTATTCGGTCGCAATATCGTTGTCGTGGAAGTTGTCGTTTCTGTCGCTGTGTAGCGACAGATTAACCGGTCGCATTCTGTCGCAAATCTATATATAATTTTTTTAAATATTAATAAATAATAATTATTTAAATTAAATTAAATTTTAAAAAATAATTTAAAAAATATAAAATAAAAATATTTATTTAAAATTAAAAAGTATTTATTAAATAAAAAGCCGTTGGTGGGTCGTCACGAGGAGGAAATAGCCGGGCGAAAAGCGTCTCGTAACGCGCAATCCGTGCCTCAGCTTATTCAAGTCTAGCAATCTTCCTGCCATCGTCCTCGAACTCTTGAGTCTTTTTCTTCAACAGCTCGACCTCCTTAGTGAGTGAGACGTGGTGACCGATCGATGTTGCATCCGGATGACCACCACCCAACTGAGTCGCCATTGCACCGACGCCGTATATACGTCCTTTGGCATCGGGTTGGACAACCTACGAAATCAAAAGTATACGTCAATTAAAATAATTTAATAAAAAAATAAAAAAAAATATAAATTTACCTCCAGATAGAGACTGTTGATTTCTGCTGGCGAAAGTTGGGTTGATCCACAACTCTCCTCTAACTGGAAGAGACGATCGGTGATCTTTGCCTGAATCGCATCCTCGATTTCCTGAACACGATCGCTGATATAAGTACCGTCAGCTCGACGGTGAGTCTCCTACAGCAATCGCAACGCAGAAGGTTCTTCACCTTCCTTCTACGTCTGCACCACAAAAAATTTAATTAAAAAAATTCAAAAAAAAATTAAAATAAATATTTATTTACTTACTATCTCATGGGCGACTCGAGCAAATGATCTCCGTCCTGCAGTGTGGGTCGGGGGTGCGCGTTCGATCTCCGCTCGGGATCGTCGATTGCTTGAGAATGTTTGACTCTTCTGCGTTCCTTCTTCTGAATCCCAATATTCAACTAGCTGATCGTAGATCGCCGTCGACATCCATGCAGGTCGTACGCGTCTACTCTTTACCCAATAAATGTTGTCCTTGAGGCGATCTCGGACGGCGAACCTCCAAGCGGCGTAGATTCGGTCATGAATAGACTCGTCCCAATAATAAGCTTGCTATAAAAAAATAAATTTATAATTTTGTATGCATATAAAATTGAACTAAGTGTCAAAATTCTTACCGCGAAAGCCCCAAACCAACGCTGCAGATCAGATGGAGGGACATGGATGAGACTCCGCCACAGACCTTTGAAGTCCGACTGAAAGATGCTGACGACGGATGCAATCACGTCGTTATTACGATCAAACCTGTAAAAATCAGTTTCGTAAAATTAATTTAAAAGAAATTAAAATAAATATATATTATATGCATAAAAATACCTATCCAATAGAACCGGGGGAGCGATCTGGATCTAGACGAGGTCAAAGACGACAGGATCTAGACGAGGTCGGAGACGACATTCTGCAGACGCTAGAATCTCCTGCAACGATGGCGATGGCGATGCACCATGACTAGATGCACCTTCATTCACGGATTGGGGGGAAGCCGCACCCATGAAAGGTACATCAAGTCGAGGAGGATCGACTACCACCTGATCCCGACGGACAGATGGTGATCTAGATGATCCGATACCACGTCCTCGGGATCGTACTCCGCTACCGCTACGACCACTAGAATGAGAGTGACTCATCTACAAGTTACATATAACAAAACAAAATCATGAAAACCCGTGAACTAGCCCTAACCCTAAACCCTAAACACTAAACCCTAAACACTAAATAAACTCTAAACACTAAATAAACACTAAACACTAAAGAAACCCTAAAATCTACAACCCTAAACCTAATTAAACCCTAAACCCTAAAATAACCCTAAACAAATCCTAAACCCTAAACCCTAAACCCCAAATAAACCCTAAATCTAAAATTAAACCTAATAACCTAAAATCACCCTAAACCCTCAAATAACCCTAAACCCTAAACCCTAAACCCTAAACCCTAAATAAACCCTAAATCTAAAATTAAACCCTAAACCCTAAACATAAACCTAATAACCCTAAACCTAAATACCCCAAATTAAACCCTAAACACTAAATAAACCCTAAAATCAAAAATTAACCCTAAAAGCTAAAATTAACCCCTAAACCCGAAAATTAACTCTAAACCCTTAAATAATTCGACCACAACCTTAAATCCGAACCAAAAACACCTAAAAATCGAAACAATTGGAAACATTTTGATTAAAAATTGGAAACTTACCTCGGTGACGGCAAATGACCGGCGCGGTGATGCGGCGGTGTCGGTGGGGGATGACGGCGCGGTGATGGTCTCAGTGTCACATGTTTATATAATCACAAGGTCACAGTCGGAAAGGTCACAATGTTTGATGTTTTGCAGGCGCCGTATATCTACAAACTTGATCAAATTCAGTTTTGCCCGAAGATAAATACGAGATGTTATCCGGCTCAGACACTGAAGAAGCTGAAAGACCTACTAACAAACGAGGAATGGATGTACTTTAGCAAAGAGTCACAGTTTCAGCATCTGTTTCACACCAAATTCGAAGAGACACTGAAGATGGCACCTGCTGCATTCCTCATCAACCACGCAGTGTTGGTCGAGGATGATTGTGAGCTATAGTTTGTTATCAATGGAGTGCCCATCAGGTACTCCATCGTGGAACACGCCTTGATATCAGGATTGAAATGCGGTGAATATCCGCCAGGATGGGAGTACAAAAGGAAAGACAAGTTCAGACTGAAGATGTTTGAGAATCGGAAAGTGTCTAAGCAAAACGTTCTTAGACAACTTGAGAAGACGCCACTCGATAAGGTTGTGGGTGTCGGGACCGTATTCGCGTGTATGGGTATATGCTAAGCATGCGAGAATCACGATATTGAATTTGTATTCGGGAATCGTCAAGCAACAAAGATAGAGAAATCACCTCCCTGCATATAACTCACTATCTAAAGTTCTCTAAATCCATATCCCTATGTGATTTATCAAACTAGATGCATGAAGAACACCATCATCAATCTTAGATCGATCAAACCATATTCCTATGTGAATAATACGATCTATTCTATCGATTTCGATCTGAAACTAAACCCATATTCCTATGTAGTTCAGAATCTAAAACAACTGGTCAAGGGGTCAGCAAACACCAATTGAATAAAGCACAAATCGATAAAACCGAACAAATCCAAATCGCAACCAAGTTAGGGTTCAAACATTCCCAAAACACAAACGAATCCCTAACCCACAGCCGTGGATCTACTCACGGTTCATGGAAAAACACTGAGCAAAACTAGAAACAGAAAGAAAAGAGGGAGAAGAAAGACTCATGTCGACAGCAAGCGATCTTCACGTTCCAACTCTCCTTCTTCTTCCCGAAATCCCGTAAAACTCTTATTTCTCTCACCAAAGCTCTCCAAAGTCTGTATAAAGTCTCTGTGTGTCCCTTTTGGACGTCTGTAGAGTCCTTTTATAAACCCTAGGCGGCGCTCCCGAAGTCCTATTCCCGATCAAACTCTGAAAATTCGAATCTGGGCTTTTTCTAGGTTTTGACTCGGACCGAGTCAGTACTCTGACTCGACCGAGTCAGAACGAGACATAAGAAATTCGGCCCAGCCCAATCTTCTGACTCGGACGTTCTGACTCGGGCATGTTGACTCGGGGTAGTCTGACTCGGACGTTCTGACTCGGACTCCTCGTAACAGGCTTGAATTGGGCCATTTTCAGCGTGTTGACTCGGCCCACTTTCCATGGTTGACTCTGGCCGAGTCAGGACAGGAAGTTCTTGATGTATTCCATCCTTTTAGCTCCAGATTGCTTCCATCTTGGTCCGAATCTCATCCAAGACCTGTAATCCAATAAAAACACAACCAAACCGAGTTCCGTAGCCTAACGCGCCTATAATGCCTACAAATGAACATGATCCTCATGTAAATCCTATAAAAACGTCCAGGAAATATAGAGAGAATTAGGAGTTATCACACTTCATACTAACTTCGCCATCTTTTATTCTCGCATTTTGAGCACGAACATGGTAACTTCGAACTCTCAATAAACGACGTTTGACTTGTTGCAAATGCCATAAAATGTTGTGCTAAATAAACCCTAAAATCAAAAATTAACCCTAAAAGCTAAAATTAACCCCTAAACCCGAAAATTAACTCTAAACCCTTAAATAATTCGACCACAACCTTAAATCCGAACCAAAAACACCTAAAAATCGAAACAATTGGAAACATTTTGATTAAAAATTGGAAACTTACCTCGGTGACGGCAAATGACCGGCGCGGTGATGCGGCGGTGTCGGTGGGGGATGACGGCGCGGTGATGCGGCGGTGTAGGTGGAAGTGGAGCCAGGAATCTGTTCA